AACTGTTTGGAGAAGAACACTCAAGCAAAGCCGACAGTTGCCACGCACTCGCGCTCACACAATATAAATTGGGCAAATTTTCCTGAGCTCTTCAGTCTGCACAGCGTGTACTGGATATTAGGCTTAAACTGTGTGGAGAAGAAACCTCAAAGACAGCTGACAGTTATCAATCACTCGGGGTCACACAAGATGAACTAGGCGACTTTACTTTAGCTCTTTCGTCTAAACAGCGTGCTCTTGGTATCAGCCTTAAACTGTTTGGACAAGAACGCTCAAGCACAGCTGACAGTTGCCATTCACTCTTGATCACGCAACATAACTAGGCGACTTTATCTCAGCTCTTCAGTCTGCACAGCGCGCTCTGGATAGTAGGCTTAACTGACTGTTTGGAAAAGAACACTTAAGTACTGCTGACAGTTACTATTTACTCGGGGTCACACAACATGAATTAGGCGACCTTACTTCAATTCAGCTCTTCAGTCTAACCAGCGTGCTCTTGATATCAGGCGTAAACACTGTTTAGAGAAGAACGCTAAAGGATAGCTGACAATTTCCATTCACTCGAGCTTACACAATATGCGCAAGGCGAATTTTCTACAACTTGTCAGTCTACACAGCGTGCACTTGAGATCAGGCGTAAAGTTTTGGGAGAAGAACACTCACGCACAGCTGACAGTTACCATTTACTCGAGCTCACACAATATAAAGTAGGCGACTTTTCCTCAGCTCTTCAGTTTGCAGAGCATGCATTGGATATTTGCCTTAAACTGTCTGGAAAAGAACACTCAAGCACAGTTGACAGTTACCATTAGCTCAGGCGTACAAAGCATAAACAAGGTGACCTTTTGTCAGCCTTGCAGTCTAAATAACTGAAAGTCACCGTTTACGCCCTATTATAGAAACATGTTGTTCAGTCCACAAACTTTTTATTTTCTGCTAAAGATTGCTGAGACTGAAAAGCTTTGAAATTCGTTTATACGTTGTACGTTGCGACTCCACATGCGACAGTTCGTGAAAATGAGTTTATAGAGTGGCTAATTCGACAAAATAGAAACAAATATATCGGAAGTATATTCTATTTAACATTGCTACTAAATAGGCGATTTGCATGATGGCGTCATTTGACTACAACTACTAGAATCCTTCCCTTTTTCTGTTTCTTATGTATGATAAGTAGGGAAATTGTTATTTAAACTCCACTTTGGCTACAAACTTACTCGTTTACTGGCCGATTTTAGGGTCCGACACTTGAATATGGCTTACATGATGATTTTTTCGAGATTAAGTAACTTTATTTTGAAATGGAGGAGCTCGTGGAGCAACATTAAAACTCTCTAAAAGATCCTGAAGATGGGTTTTGGGGAGGAAAATAATTCAGAAGGTATCTTGAGTAATTATGAGAGTAATTTTTTGAATTATCTCAAAATTCTAGGCGAGAATTGTAGTTGAACAAACGTTCGTGTCTCTTCGCGTTGGTTCACGCTACAAAGGCAACATGCCTTTCAAATGCGACTAACTACTCTTCGGATGGCCAATTGACCTTTAGAATCTTGCTTCTTTTAGTGAATTGTGTATTGAGTCAATTTACGACGCGTTCAACTCAATAACTTTGAATATGTGGGCGGTTGCCTTGGTCACTGCTTGCACGTAGTCTCAAAAAAAAATCGTAGTAAATTCTAGATTTTCTCGATTTTAGTTTTCGGGATGCGTTTGTTTATATATTATATATATCGGGAAAAAAGTTTTATTCTCATGAAATGTAAACAGCAGAGTTGTTTTACAACATTTTTGAGTTTATCGGAATGTTTTTTTACCTGTTTTGCTAAGTTCTTCTGATTAAAATTTTTTTTAAAGTTATGTTACTTTCCATGAATTCAACATTTTTTTTTTCTGGAAAGTACATTTTGTGCTTTTCAAATGAGATATAGTAAACTGCATTGCTGTAAATACTTGGCAAGATATTAAATAAAGAATACGATTTGTTAAACTTGCCGGACGTTTTTGGCTCCGCTATACAGAATGGAGTTAACGATTTACTCTGCTCGTGATATTTGAAAATCCCCGCAAAATTGCGCGCGCCTTCAGGCGAGTGCAGTTTGAAAGAATTTTCAAATTTTACTAGCAGTGTAAATCCTTAGTTGCTCGAGCTGAGTAGATGAACCTCTTTCGAGTGCTGCCGTTTTCAAGCACGTCGAGCTCTACTCTCACCCCAGAGGCGCAAAAATATACATGTGCTTCCTTTGTAATTACAACTGCAAATGGTCAGACGTTCAAGTCTTCGCGGATAAAGACTATAAACCGTACGCCCCGTCTCCTGCATCTTCAGTGTTACGTGGTTAGCAGGGAATATTAAAGAACCTACACACTTATCGAAAAGAGTAAGGCAAGTGTTGTGGTCTCACCTTGTCTCACGGGTTGGTGCTTTACATAGGGTTAACCTCATTGCACCTTTCTCCCTTGGACAGAATTGTGCGAAAAATTTCTCTAACTATGACTAAGTGTCATCACCTTGCACACGATGGCGCAATTTGTTCTAAAAATTGAAAAATTGTCCCATATCATAGAAATGGCGCGCTTACGGTCTCCGTCCCCGACTATGGCTCCTGGTTACAATCAATAAGAATACGACTTGGACGGAATATATTCCCCTTAAAAACAGTATAATGTCAGCTAACACCTTGCTTTTAATCGCCGTATTAAACAGTTTTTATATCTATACGCTAGATTAACTTTTTATAACAGTCTCGTTCTGCCGCTATTTTATTACGCCGACAGTGTTTGGATTGACAAAAACAATGTTAATCTAATGAATCACCTCCAAGTTATCCAAAATAATGCTACAAAACTAATAATTCTAATAATAAGTTTTTTCAATAAGATACTACTAAAAATACTTTTGATCTAAATTTACTGACTTTAACTTTGACTTGAGCGATAAGCAGCTAATTTCCCTAATTGTCGAATAATTCATTTTTTTTTTCTAATAAGACATATTTATTAATCACGTTGTCAGATTATGATAGCGAGTTGCCTTTATAAAATGGTAATGGTGCTTCTGAAAAGTTAATTTATTGTACACAATCTTCAGTTACACAATTCCTTATTTGGCATCCAGCTTTCGCTTTTTGGTCAATGTTGATCTTATTGTGGAACATATTAACTAGCCACTTTTGAAATGAGCCCCCTCCAACTACAAATAAGCGTTTTCCAGACGACACAATATTCATTTCCACAATGGCCACAGCACCATGATCAGTAAGATTGTAAGTTGAAGGCTGAAAAATAATTGGTTTTAGAGGCGCTAAAATACTCATCAATGACTTAGCGTTTTTTCGGGCACGTATTGCAAGTCCAGACAAACTTCCATAGTCTCCGAAATCGGTTGCTAAGAAAAGCGGTATGGGAACTCCACTAGCATTCTTGTACCTTAGCACTCGCCTCGTCAAATTTGATATACACTTCTTGACCGCTACACTATTGCTAAAAGTAATTCCAAACTTTAGCATCTTTTCCGCGCGAACGTGCGCAGAGACAAAGAATGGGCCAAGACTTTTTGCGATAAAATCTCGTGCAACTTGAAGGAGTCTTGCACTGAAGAAAATGGCAGCGTCATAAACGCAGATACGATGTGGTACAACTGCTTCCAAATTAAATTGTGCTCGATACGATCTTGCTCTAGTACTTCCTCTCCATTGAGCCAAGCCAACACATGGTAACCCCTCTATGACGTCAGTCTCGAATTTTTCAACTGAATTAACCGCAAACACATTCATGCAAATTGTTCTTTTAGCTTTCAAACCCCAAAATGTGTTTCCGTGGCGAGTGTTGCAGGGAAAAAATGCCCGCGTGGTTCGATTATATTTTTGACTTTTAGTTAGGTTCGTGTAATCAAAATGCACCAGTACATCCAGTTTTCCTTGACAGACGTCTTGAAACTCTTTCCAGCTTATAAGCGTACCATGGCCGCTAGAGCGAAGCGTGTGATTGAGCGCAGACACGTTATAGTACAGTGCGAGTGTTTGAAAACCCTTCTTTTTGGGTACGCCGTAAAAACGCGAGTCTTTTACAAATGGAAGGACAACTTGTCGTCCACCATACGCAGCAAGGGCTGTGAGATCAAGGAAGCTATTTGTTGCCATTGTCAGTTGCTCCCAGTAATCAAAAGCGATGAAAATCTTTTTCCCGGGCCGCCACGCACTTTCCTCTTTCTCTGTTTGGGGAACTGAACTACTAGACTGGTTAGTTGCCCTGTGCCGAGTAAGTGATCGATCGTAGATTTGTATGTTTCCTTTGTCTACAACACTGGTTCTTTGTAGATAGAAGGCGCAAATGACCAGTGTAGTTCCACAGAACAGGAAAAATAGTTTCAGAAAATATTTATTCAATGAAAGCCAGGATAGTGATATTTTTGTACCCTGCAAGGGGGACTGTTCCATCTTTTCCACCTTGTACCACGGTGAGGCTTTGAGTTGGCGTGTACGTCTGAGAGCTGATTCGTCAGTATCTAGTATTGGAATAAAAATATCTTTAGAATCTACACATATCATCTATTTTTGTAGGCAGCGTGGCCGAGTGGTTAGGGCGAGGGACTTGAAATCCGGTGGTCACGGGTTCAAGTCCCGCTCTCTTAAGTGTCGCCCCCTCTTTCTCGGTGGACCCTACTTGAAATCCTCGGTCATGCTTGCAGCTAGCCAAATGGTCTGGCTCCCGCCATTTGGGATTTTAAAGCCTATTATGTTTATTTCCAATATTTCTTTCATTCAGTTTAAGTGTCATGCCTGAAAACTAGCTATTTGTGCCTGAGTGCATCGACCACTATTAACATTCAACATTACATTAACATTATTATTCGACGAAATTACGCCATTAACCATCCACTTAAAACCATTCACTTAAAACCCCCTACAAGCCGCTCAGAAAAAATCGAGCATAAGAGGATGGAATTACTCCAAGTTTGTGTTTCGCTGTTTTTATATTTTGATAACATTACGCTGTGCAACAATTTCTCGGGAACGTAACAAACTGACGATGCGTAACGCCTTTTAGTATCCCGCAGAAAACGTATTTAGGCTCCCAGTAAGACGCCGCCTCCAAATTCGACAACACGGAAAATTATGAATATTTTACCAAAAAAGCATAGGCACGCAATGTGTGCGAATGTCAACGACTTTCCCAGATATAAATTCCTTTTTGTCGTGCTAATAAACGTGCTAATACATAACAGCTGGAGGAGTTGCGGATAAATGCATGCAAATCTAGTGATGAAGCTTTTAAAGGAATTGTACGAGGTTAAGAGTATAATCTATATATAATCTGTATATTCACCACGGTGAACACATACAACACAAGTCCAAGAATTCAATGCTCTAAAACGAAACGAACTACAAGTAACATATTTTGAACCGATTTGATCTGTTATTTTAAATCAGGAAATGGTGAGTTATATGAACACATCTGATCGGCGAAAGCTTGGAATTAAAAGAACAGTAGCTTAAGGCCTCAGTCGAATCGTCTATTTAGTAACCGACTAAATCAAGAAAAGTTCATAGAGGTCATGCGGTGCCGTTTGGAAACTTAACTTACAGTGACAGTAGTGTTCGCGCCACTTTCTCCTACATCAAGACGATCCCACAGTACGAAAGTTTCAACAGCAAGCAGTGCGAAAGCATGGAGACATCATAGGAACGCAAGCTACAAATACGTGCGCTCCGAAGGGAAGAAGGTCAATGCTATGTCACAGAATGGATAGCGAGTAACGCAGCCAATTAGAGAAAGGCATTCGGGATAGAACGCTAGTACATTTAAACTAAAACTCGACGGAAACAGAACTAGTGCGAGCTGTTGACGTAATGATGATGCGAGCAAAGAGAATTTACATTTTGACGATCAAAGTAAAGAACTCATTTTCTTTTTTTCGTCGCCGATTATTCTAAAAGAAATAAAAACTGGAGAAAGCTAAAGAAACCCAGAAAAAGTACAACTGTCTACTAATTAAACTCAATGACACAGCAACTGGGCGAATGAAGTACCTAAATTGCATTCCAGGTTTAAATTGTTCAACCAATGGACGATAAAGTAGGAAGATTTTGCGCTGGCGAGCATTCCAAGAAACGGTTAAGTATTAAACTACATAAGGAAACCACAGTGAATTTTATAAATATACATACATTTTCAACAAGATGATAGAGAACGCAAACATTGAAAACAGACTGTAAACAGTACATGTTAATTGATCAGTTAACTAACTCCGCATCTCTTAAACAAGCTATAAATGTAAAGAAACCTAAAAAAATGTAAAATTCTCTGCCAATTTACCTTAACAAGACATGACATATACCTTAATCTGCTCCAAGTCTAAATTATTCACTCGGTGGACTATAAAACTGGATGACTTAATGTCGGTGAATCTATGGGAAGCAGATTATGTCTCGGCGTACGTCCTAAGAAAGGGTGCACAGAGAATTGTAAAACAATAAAAATGCAAGCAAGATATAAATTCCCAACCATATTTATTCGTTGTAATAATGGGTGAAAAGTTAATGGTAATGTTTTGAGAAATAAGTGTTGGGTCATTCGAAATATAATATTGGAATATTTTAGGTGTTTAAAAAATGTTGCCTTTCTTATCGTTGTTGATGTGTACGCAGGTGCTACGTTTCCTAGGAACTAGTTCTTCAGCGAAATATGTGTAAATTACTTGACTGTTGTTACACTGGAAATGGTGCCATGTAATCTAACTATTTTGAAGATGTAGTATCTACTTAAATAATTTGTTAGCCGATTCTTGGTAGGATGCCTTGGTACATTCATGTTCTGCAAGCACCGTTGCTGCGCTGCATGTTTTCGGTTCAGCTGCGTTGTCCAGCAACTCGTTTGCTTACTCGCGGGTGTCGATCAAGAAAATGAAATAAAAATTGAAATCTAGATTTTGGAAGCGCTCTTTTTGGAATTAGTCGCGTTAGACTCCTTAACTTATTTTCAGTCTCCTGTCCAATT